TAACTGACTGGACATGACAACAACGCTTATCAAAGCGATTCACAAATTTGTAATGGTAACGATAAAGAAATCTTTTGATTTCAATTCAGATCCCTCGTATTCGTCGCAATTCGTAAGAAAGTTTCATAAACAATACAGTACTATATCCCTCATAACACCCGATCTTATTCGTGAATGTTTCAATAGTTCACAATAAATTGTCAATAAAATTATTCAAACACAATCAAATTAATGTCAAATGATCAACTTCACATCGATACGAGTAAGTAATCTTCCACACTTACTTTACTCAACCGAATTCACTTACTTTATAAGCTCGTTGCACCTCTTTGAGAACGCACAGTACCACTCTAACGGGCAATAACTTTGATGTCTTATAAACGATATCGAATGGTGAATAGAATACCATATACCATACTATTGTTGCCTGAATTATTCAATAAATAATTCAACATAAATTGTCAATAAATACAATACCAAATCCCTTAAACTGTCAAGGAATACAATACAACAATACTAAATCCTTCATCTTATCCGATATTCAAAGTATAAAGTAACTGAATCATCCATTCAATTTATATACGTCATAATTCTAAGTATAATTGGATCATCCTATATGCACAATCAGGAATGTAATTCTATCAAGTGAGTGGATCACCCATCCAATCTAATTATCAATATCAGTGCAATTGAATGAATACAAGTAAATTCAATGCGAATCTCAAGAAACGAACCAGCAGAATATCATCGTGTCGTTTAAAAGGCGCAATTACAGGCTCACCAAGAAGGAAGTTAGCGAGAAATGAGCCTGCGAAGCACATCAGCATTGACGACAACCAACAACTCAACGGATGCTTTCGCGAAAAAATTGACGCCCCACTCGCCAGATCTTCACGTACCCCTATACTCATCTAGAATTTCGATGCTCTTTAACTACACCGCAATTCACTGACCGTAACAATCGCCAATAGGCCAGTAACCTTTACAAAACTGATAAACTGGTTTGGTAAACATGAGCTGCAAACCGAACAAGCTCAGTATCGAATAAAATTGCTGGCTGTCCTCTAATCGTAAGGCAACCAGGCGACACCTGGGCCGGAATGCTTTGAGCAGATTCGATTTCATTATATCGAACCAACTGATCATTCGATTATCATTTACGTACCAAACTTATGATTCGTCAAATTTTGAATGGTGATACCATTGTTGTCATCATTATTACCAATACGAGTGATTTGGAATGTAGGAATAAAGAGACGAGTTCAAGACTTACAAGTATATAGTGAGCGATATCGAAATAGGGGAACATTTTGAGGCGTTGCACACGACTGGCCGCATTCAGAAGGATCTCTTGATCCACTCTGAAACTATCAACCAGAGACATCTTCAATCCTGCGTCCGTTTCACTGAATCGCTCAATTTTGTCCAACGTTCATTCACTTAACTTGTCACACCACTCTGATCACCTCTGATCACTTTTCACTGATCGAATAGCTTAGGCTATTGTGAAGTGAAGTGGCGATCAACTTCTCAAGACGAATGCCGAGTGCAAGCGAGCGATTGAACCGACTGCCTGATCTATTACTATCAGATGTCTACAGTCGAGCTCAGGTCGGCGGCAGTCAACCAATGATGATAAATATCACTGCAATTTGAAAAAATAAAATAAACAATCATTTTTCAAGGACAGCAGTTGAATTCTCGATAAAAATTTGATAATACCGTGAAATTGGATTGCTCTTATATCTGATATATTTCAAACGATACAATATCTCTGGTTCCTTTGAAATGTACAACAATAAACACATCGAATACCAGTCACGTTAATAATGAAATAAAACAATTCGATTCGAAATCAGCTTGGATTCGTTCCATTCAACAATTACACTAACAAAAAAAGATCAAAACAATAAAAACTACAAAATGTTCATTGATCAAATAACACCTCATAATAACTATACGAAAATTTCTTCCTAACGCAACGTATCACTTCAGAGCTATCTCAAGAAGCAACACACATAAAATACTAATATTATTCGTTGGACATCATACGCCAACGAAGAACGAACGAGCCCTTCAAAATATTCTTATGATGCACTCATGCTAACATGCCCTCCCATGATGCTAGCTAGCTANTATCACTTCAGAGCTATCTCAAGAAGCAACACACATAAAATATTAATATTATTCGTCGGATCATCATACGCCAACGAAGAACGAACGAGCCCTTCAAAATGTTCTTATGATGCCCTCATGCTAACATGCCCTCCCATGATGCTAGCTAGCTAGCATGATGCCCTTTCAATCGTACCAATTCACGCATATGCAAAACAGTCAGAAATCACTTATCATAATCAATTTCACACGTCCTTTATCAATGATATTATCACCCAAAATCATCAAACTATAAAATACCCTTAAAAACTTATCAGTGGACAGTCAGTCATATTTCCATTGATAACATTAGTGAAAACACTGACTTTATATGATGTATTCTGATATCATCGGTTATGATGTCGTCCTACACAACGATGCACAATACAAAATCATGATGATTGTATTGAACTAACAATTGAATAATATGAATCAGCAAATTCACCAATATATTCAACGTCAACGAAAACATACGTGTATAAATGCGAAAATGCGGAAACATTGAGCAAAATGATTTGCATTCTACGCAATGCATCGTCACTAAACAAGTGCAAATCACTAATCCATGTTGTATCATTTATTCATCCATCATTTTGTTTACTTCATATTCAATCGCTCATTCAACCCAATTTTTTAATTTATTTTTCGAAGCTTGTCACCAAAATAATCCAGAAAGCACATTTCAACAGTCGGAACTCGTGTACCCAAAATTTACCGAACTGACTAGCGATTCTCAAGCTGAAACTATTGTTATCGATAGATTTTCATGAATTTTCATCGAACTGTCCTATTATCTCCACTTTTCCCATTGCCCATCAACTAATTGAGGGGAACGATTAAAAGGCCTCATAGTATCTCCAGGGTATCGATCAAAACAGAATGATCGAAAGGATCAACGGTTAATAGACATTAGTGAAAACTTTTAAAAAAAAAAGACTTCCGCTGTAGAAATGAGGAATATTCAATTCAAAAAAGAGGCAACTGGTTAGTTCTTAAAAAAAGTTTGGATAATACATAGTGCAAAAACATTCGGGTTTATAAGCCATTCACTCGGACAAATTGACGAAAGATTCAACACGAACGACAATCGTAAAATCTCTCTAATGAACCGGTCGAACAAACACAAAACAATTTTATGTTAGTTACCTTTGCTGCTTCATTCTTTCACATTTCAAACATTACTTTTACTATAAATGCAGAAAATAAATTGAAAAAGTCGTAAAAAATATTCAGTTTTCATTTTTGTGGCTTCTAAACCATCATCTCATATACACGCTTCACAAACGAAATACTAACGAATTACATAAAAACAAAATCGTAAACTTTGGTTAACGCATAACAAAAATAATAAATGTTCGGTAACAGTAATAATAACAGCCGCAATGTCTCTTTATTATCCAATTGATTCAGCATGAATTTCCATTGGATTTAATACGGATCACACAAATGACAAACAAATGATAATGCTCATAGTAGCAATTTGTCACTCATAATAGATGTAACAAACCTAATCGATCGCTGCCAGCTCAGGCTTACGGGTTCGCGATGGAATAATGTTTTCGGCCAGATCAAATAGTGTAACAAAATTGCAGTATTATTGATAACACGAGTAATAATGTATTTTAACAAGAAGTACTGCATAAAACTAAAAACTTTTCTGTATGTAGCATTATTGAGGAAATTATTGGATGAGAATCTCTCTGAAATTGTAACAAACTAACAAAATAAAAGTACAATTCAGAATAACCCAAACTTTACATTTTGTTTCATCGAATGAGGTTCGGTTCAATCACGATGCTTTGAATCAGGCAGATAACGTTGGTTCGTTGTTGTTCTTGTAGGCGTTGTACGGATGGATAATGCTAGATCTCGTCGAATTTCCTCTATCTTTTATCAAATAATATTATTCCTGCTTGCAGCTGTATTAAACGCATACGATATTGTACTCTCCCATTCCTTTCCTCTCCCATACTATAGCCGAAACTCTTCAGTTTACATTTATCTCTCATCTAGCTGGATTTCTATCCTCTCT